TCAGCTCGAAGCATCCCGTGTGCCCCATTAATAGTTTATGCTTTAAAGCACAGTCCAAGCAGCAAGACAGCTGTTAAAATCTATACGATTTCGCGATCAACAAAGTTTAAACAAAGACTAATAGGACGGAAAGCCAGTAAACACCACAAGAAATATTTTTTACCCGCAATTTGACGTAGGAGGTTGATTTGAAGCAAACAAGATCGAGGACCATAAAGATGATATTACCATTTGGAAGCGGAACCAGAGAATCTGCGTTGGAACGATCTGCTTCATGTGTCATGGTAGCAGAAGGCACTCCAAGCATAATGCAATCCAACGTTGTCTCATAACGATGCATTTGAGATGAACTTTGTCCGAGACCACCACCCGGAAGACGGGTCAGCATGGTTGCAAGGCACAGACCAGTTCGAGAGTAGACATTTGTCTGGCCCTTAAAATCACAAAAACGGCGACTACTAAGGAAGTACAACAACGTCCATGATGAAACCTACGTAGGCATAGTGAAAGCATAAAGCACACAAGAGTCAACTGTCTAGCAAGAAGACATCCACAAACCTTGGCGGCAGTAACATAAACGTGGCGACCTTTGGGACACAGTTTAAAAAGGTAAGTGGTTTCAAAATCTGGAGGCATGAAGAGAAACCACTCCGCAAGCATAAGGTGGGACTGTTGTTTGTCCCACTGCCGTTTATTTGAATCACTCTCAGGAAGTCCAAAACGCAGATTACCCATCTTAGAATCTGAATCGGGCAGGTCACGATTATCATCGAATTTGGCTCGACGTTTTTTTCGACGTCGACAATTTGCAAGTTCAGCCCTCCACCGCCGTTCCTGGTCGATCGCATAGCCTGCATTCTTGTATAACAAAAATCTTGGACAATCTGATATTTCCTTAACACATGTCGACACCTTTTCCACTCCAGTCATAGCAGAGAGTTCAAAAGAAAGAACATCATCCACACCACCACCTTCCATTTTCGAACGTTACGACAATTTGAAGTATTGCTCGAAACTGCGATGATTAAAAACAAGATGTAAACTTAAGCAATTGCTTACTTGTACTATACCTTTAAAAATTGTTTTTGGGGTGTAGACGAGCTATTTTATTAGAATACTTTAGTCTTCGATTACGGTAGACGATTTAATTTCAATTTTGTTAGTCTTAGCATCTTTGCTAAAGTCCGAAGGAGACATTTTTAATTAATTCAGGCAGTTCTTTAGTTAATTAATTCGTGTTTATTCAATGTCTGTTTTTTTGTACCATGTCTGCTTATGTTGGACCAGTTATAATCACATAACATGATCAATTTTAATTTTTTTGCGCGATATAGGGGAAACTGTGTTTGTACTTATAGGTGACTGGGCGAGCGTTATTGGCTGATCAACA